GTGCCCAGCCCTTCCACCGCACGCACTGGGCCATGTCTGTCTCCCCCCGGGAGGGTGAAATCCAGGGCACAGGGACTGTGCCTTGTTCATCTTTGCGTCCCCGATGTCTCAGCACAGCGCTTGGCCAGAGCCGGTGCTCAGTGTCCAGAGAGTAAAGGAAGAACCGAAAGGAAAGGGGTTCCCGTTTCACAAGCATTGAGAATCTGAGATGCAAGAGCCCAACCTTAGGGTCCAGCTGACTTTACGCCAGAGCCTGGCTTCATCACTTACTAGTCGTGTGACCTTGAGCAAGATATTTAATTTCCCTGAGCCTCAGTTTCTTTAGCCAAAAATAGTAACAATAATAGCTACCTCCTAGGGTTGTTGTGGGGATCAGTGATGATGTCAGAGAGAAGCTGCCGCCCAGCACGCAGTGGAAGCTCCAGAAATGGCAGTCGTGATTGGCTGCTGTAATTGGACTGTTGACGCGTGTGCCTGAAGCAGAACACCTGCTCCAGGAGCTCTGTGTTTAGCAGTGAGTGAGACGCGTCATCTCTCGGGGCCCCAGGAGCCTCTCCTGGGTTGATCTCTCACCCCGAATACCATCCCTCTGCTCTGGGGAATGAGACATGCTGCTGTGACCCTAATGGGCAATGTGGCCTGGCGCACAGAGCAGCTGACCCTGTGGCACTCGGTCACTCTCTGCCATGGGCAGCTCTGCTCAGGTGTCCTCTCTTGGGGGTGGGGGAGTGCGGGGCATGTTAGCTGCCCCTCAAAGTCAGAGTTGAGGTCTGAGGACAGGTGGGGTGCTCCTGTTTGAAATTTAGGCAGTTACATGGGACAGCTGGCTCCCACCCCTCACATCTCTGAGCACAGTCTTAGATACCGGGTTTGGTTTTATTGTAAAAGATTGATTGGGGTCAAATTATTCGCACCCATTTATGTAGAGAGAACAAGGGAGGAACAGATGAAATCCGTCCCTTGATACCCAGCTCTTACATTCAGGAAACAGAACCCGGAAGATGTAATTCTCAATGCACCACCCTTGCCCAGAACTGGAATCTCCACACTTGACTCAACCTCCCCTCCAGCACTGGCCCCGCAGTGGCACAGGCCTGAGCCCCCAGTGTCAGCGAGCCTGCTGCCCTGGAGGAGAGCTGCCAGGCGGGGAGGGCAACTTCAGAGGGAGAACTAAGAGGAACTGACTGGTTGGTCACAGGAACTAGAAAGGCGGGGAGATATTAGCCTGGGGGATGGGGGATGGAGGTCAAAACAGGCTCTAGAAACTTGGGAAGGGGACCGGCATGAGGAGTGAATGAGGGCACGTTGGTCTTGGACGTGAAGAGGGTGAGACAGCCTGGGTCAGGTGGCTGCCATCACTTGAGGGAGTGGACTGGCCCTGGGGGGCCCAGAGGATGGGCAGAGCCAGCGGCGGTGAGCGGTGAGCCCCTTTCCGTAACCTTGGGGTCTCATCACCCCAAGCCCAGAGGACAGGAACAGCCTCGCAGCTGGTCTCACTCACCAGTGTTTTCTTTTCCATTCCATTCTGTTCACTAGCATTTTCTCCCTGGCTCTGCCTTCTTGGGAATGGTGATTAGGCCTGGAAGTCATGACCACTGAACTTTGGCCTGACCTTTTAGAATTTCGTGGAAAGAACCTCGAAGATGATTTTGTCTAGCCTTCAGTCCTAAGATGGAGTCTCTTTAGAAATTCCTGACAAATGGCTTCCCCCCCCCCGGGCCAGCAGCCCTCCAGTGACAGCGCCTGGTGTTCCTGCTTCCCCAGCAGCCACTCCACGGTTAAGCCGTGCCAGGGCTTCCTGCACCGGGGTCTGCTCCCCTCTAGCTCTCACCTGTCAGCCCAGGTTCTGTCCACTGGACCCACCTGGAATAAATCTTTTCCATCTGCTTCGAGCCAGCAGCCATATAATTGGTTTTCCCCACTCACAGAGCAACTTCTCAGCCTTGGACACCTCCTCAGGAGTTTCTTCAAGGGTTTTATGGAGATGGGGGCCTGGAGACATAAAGTCATTATAACAGAAAGGGACTTTCGAACTGAGGAACCCACCTCATTTTATAGATGAGGAAACTGAGAGGTTAGGTCAATTGCCCAAGGCCACACAGACAGCACGAGATAGGGCTGGTCTCCTGATTCCAGGCCACTGCTCTTTCCCTGCCACCCACTGACTGGTGCCTAGCCTAACGCGGAGGGAAGTGATCTTGGTTATTGACGCCACACTTCTGTTATTGGCCAGGATCACGTTAGCTTTTTGGGGAGGGCAGCTCCATCTCCCTGTTGACATGTTGAACTTCAAGTCGACTAAAACTCCTATATTGCTTTATAACTTAATTTTCTTCTGATTGTAAAAAATAATATATGCTCATTGTAAAAAAATTAGAAAATACATAAAAATATAAAGTATAAACGGTCATAGAACTTCCTGTTGTAAAGGCGTCCCCACCCTGCACTTGGTTGCATTGTTTTTAGGCATAAAAGATAGGACTCTACCTTCGTTTTCCATCAGGCTGTCTTGCTAGGTCCCAGCCAGCTCTCCTGTCTCTCAGAATCTTATTTTGTTATCAGTTCTTCTTATTGACACCTGGGCAGGGCTCAGAAAATGCCCAGGGTGTGGCCGAATGAATGCCACCCCAGCCAGATTGCTTATGGAAATAGTGGGCCCCTCTGCCCACTGCATTACCCACACCTCCTCTCTTCTAGGTCTGATCCCACCCTTGCTCTCCCTGAAACACCTTTCCTCCTTTTTCTTTTCAGATCCTCCCATGTTACCAGCCCAGCTGGACCCCACCTCTTCCAAGATGTCTTTATTCTTTCAGATGCCCAAAACTCCTTTTTGGGTTCCTTAGCTTTTGTAGTCTGGCCACACCATTTGTCCTTGGTTATGTATTGACTTACATTAGTCTCTTCTCTTACTTGTCTGGGGCCTGCTCCCAGTCAGTGGACGGCCCCCATACTTTGCTTGTTTCAGTCCTCAAAGCACCCATCCTACAGTCTGGAGATTATACGCCCTTGAAATGTGACTCTCTTGCCTGAATCTGCTAGGGAAGGGCTCCCCTGAGTGGGGTCCCACCCTTAAGCTCTTCTAAGGAATGGGCAAGAGAGAGCAGAGGCTCAGAAGGAGCCCCAGGAACCCTCCCCCACCCTCATCCCAGGCTTCCTGGAAGCTTGTCCCCAGCTCCTCCTGGAGTTTACATAGCAGTTAATCATCTGGGTTCCCAACAATGGGCTCTGCTCACCTTGGGACATGTGAAAATAGGATCTGGTTGGCCTTTCACATTGGGAGGCTTCTAGAGATAAAGAGAAATCCTCTGTGCCTGGCTGTTTAAAGAGACCTAAGGAGGGTTAGGCCCCTTTCCAATCTCATGGGCTTCTCACAGGGAGCCCTGGAGGTCAGATCAGTGTTCTCCTTTCTCCTCCCAGCACCAGGGCAGCAACCCTCCTGAGCCTCCTGGAACATCACGCCAAGGGCCCAGGCCTGGCAGCGCCCCCCACCTCCTCCTCCTCCATCTGGCAGGGGTGTGATGGAAGAACACTGAGCTGGGACTTGGGGACCAGGGTCCCCAGGGTGATGAGGTCTCCCTGAGTGATCCTGGGTAGGTGATGGGGAAGGCCAGGTAATCTCCAAATGTCCTTGTACTTTGAATTGCTAGAGGTGCCCTGCTGTCTCCTAGTCTCTACGTCGGCTTTGTGCGCAGACCTCGAGCCAGGCTGTCTGGTTTGGATCCTAGCTCCACTACTAGCTAGTGGTGAGACTTTGGGCCAGCTGCCTAACTTCTCTCTGCCAGGTGGTGATAACAGCCCCTTCCTCAGACGGTGGCTGGAAGATCAACCAGCTAATATGCTTAAACACTTACGAGTGTGCCTGGCACAGAACAAGCACTGTGCAAGTGTGGCCATCCTTATAGCCAGGAGTCTAACGTGGAAGTGATGTGAACTCTGTGCCCTATTATTTGGGAATGCGGCTCTTCCTCCTGTGGTCCTGGCTGGGTGCTGGGAAGAAAAGCCAGGACTGGATGCTGAGTGAATGCACCAGCCCGGTGGAGAGCCAGGAGTCAGGGTGTGGGAGCATCAGGCAGGTGAAGAGAGCCCCGGGGGAGGCCCTGTGGCCGCTGCCAAGAGCAAAAGGTGGCCCAGGGGTCATCGGGCACTGACTGCCCAGACCATTGGCAGGCCACTCCATCCATCTGCATCAGGTTCTTGTCTTGACTTGAGGCCCACTGGTAACCATAAAAGGGCAAAGCTTTGAATAGAATGCATCGATTGTTTTGATTAATTTCCCGAGGCGGCGGGGGGCGGGGGGGGGGGGGGGGGGACGGGGGGCAGGGGGGCGGAAGGAAGCCCTTTAAGACAAAAAAATCAAAAGTGCAAAAAATGATAGTTCTTTGATTTTAATAGTTGCGGGGAAAGTTATAAAATAAAACAGACAACACAGAGCCTTGTGACTCCCTCAGATCAGCAAAGAACACAGGGATACGGAAATGTAAACAAAACAGAGTTTCCAGATAGTGTTATTTTATACTATATAACTTCCAGAATACAGCAGCTCCCCCACACTCTAAAGTAAAATGAACAAGAGTCTTCCAGAACAATCTGTCCACATTCAGGGAAGTCAGAGAGGCGCCTTCCCCTCAGCCCAGGGCTGTGCGGACGCTGCTCCTTCCAGGCACGAGAGGCCAAGGCCGGTTCTGCTGGGGTTTGGCTTCAGCCCACTGGGTCATGGACCTCTTTCGAGTTTGCCTTCTCATTTTTCAGCAGGCTGGCTCCAACCCCTGCCCGTGTCTCCCTGTGACCCACACCTGTTATTAGCAGGAAACCCAGCCATGCCAAGGGAGCCTGGCCAAGTCCCTCAGATGGAGCCTTAGGTGCTCGAGACCCAGCCTACTCATTTGAAAAACAGTCAGAAAAAAGGCTACAAATAGAACTTGTTAATCATCTAAGACTGTCCTCCCTCTCGAGGTTTCTGATGTGTCTGGTTATTATTCTGTTCCAATTTTTTGCTGCAGTCCCAGGGTTTCTGACTCCACCAGGAAGAGAGCAGTCCTGCAGCCTGGCCCGGCTCTTCCCAGCATTTCAGGCCGTGGACTCGGTGTGTCAGACTCATCATCCCACCTGGCTCACCCCTGAAGCCGCAGCTGGACAAACCCTCGACTTCCGGAAGGGTGAGTTATTCCACAAAAGGTCCGTTAGCAGGAGACAAGGAGGCTCCCGGTAACCCTGAGAAGCTTGCCTTGGAAGGATATGGGAGGGAGGCAGAGCCACAGGGGAGGGAAGAACAGAAGACAGGAGGTGCTGTCCCAGCAGACGGGGAAGGACAGAAAGCACAGTGCATCCTCCAGGCCGGGCCGGAGGAAGGTCTTAGGTTAAACATCTCAGGAGGTACAAAGGATGGCGGGGGCCAGTGCAGCCACCGCAGAACCAAGGCACAGAGGAGGTGTGAAATGTCCGGGATAAATAGAATTGCATGGGAGGGAGAAAAGCCAGCTCCATCCTCGCTTAAAAATACTTATGCCATCGGCACCAAAAATATATTAATATCTGTACATTTGTTATCGTTAAAAAAAGGAAATAAAACCTTGTTGGCACCTTGTAGTGATTTCTTAAGAATGAGATGATACGTGGAAAGGCCTCCTGTGTGTGTGTGTGTGTGCACACGTCTACAGCTGTGCATCTCCCTGTCTGAAGGGCAGAGCCCCCTGCGGCCCTGGGCATTAGAAACACTGCCAGGCAGGCAGCCGCCAGCTCCCCCACCGCTGTTGTTTGCAGGGTGCTCTCTGCAGTACTCCTGACTCTGCCGGCCACAGCCATGGGGACCTGCAGCCTCCAGCCCTGCGCTCCAGAGGCGGCAGGCGACAGGGTCACCCTCACATACCTCCTCTGGTAAGATGTCCTGTCTCGTCGGTATACTGCTTCAAATGGAAGGCAGCCTGGGCTCCCCTCCGCCACACCCTCGCACACGCCTGCCCAGGCTCTGAGCGGCCTCTGCTCATAGGACAAAAACGCCAATGTGAGCAGAGGTCAGGGCAGGGCCGGAGCAAGCACATGCACCCGGGGACTCCAGTCCTGATCACCAGTGTGCCGGCAGGAGGCAGAGGAGGGTGGACTGGCCAGGCAGCCGGCAGGTGACCCCCAGCCGGCTCGGGGCCTGCACAGGCCGGGTGGGGCCACTCAGAGGTGGTGGTTGCTCTGTAGCAGGGAGGTGACGGTGTTCTGCAGGGCCATGGCCACCTTCTTAGAGGTCTTGCGCAGCAGCGGGCTGTCGGGGTGGTGCTCCTTCAGGTGCAGGACGTGGCCCTCCTGGCTCTCAGACGTGCAGCCACACTCCTCGCACACGTATAGCTTGGCCCGCCGCTCCTTGTATGCGTACTTCTGCTGCACGCCATGGATCTTCTTGAGATGAGACTCCAGAGAGCAGCGCTGCGTGAAGGCCTTGTCACACAGGCTGCATTTGTAGGGCCGCACGCCTGCGGGAAGGACAGGGCCAGGTGTCAGAGACCTGATGGGGGCCTGTTGGCAGCTTCCTAGACAAAGAAAGGCTGGGCCACCTAACTCCGGGGAAGAGGAACAGACGGAGCCCTGCCCAGCTCCGGCTGCTCCAGTGACATGACCGATGAGCTGGGAGGACTCTGCCCTGAGCTCCGCAACGCCCCTCCCAGGCCCCCGCTGCCAGGGAGCAGGCTTGCTGCAGCTCCCACGTGGCCCCAGCCAGGCGGGGTCGGGTCGTGTCTGCCTCTAACCACGGGCTCCTCTTACCCGTGTGGGTGCGGACGTGTCTCTTCAGGTCGAAGGTGTCATTGAAGCCCTTCCCACAGTAGGTGCAGAGGTGCCTCTTGACATCATTGTGACACTTCATGTGGCGATTCAGCATTCGCTGGTAGGTGAATGCCTTCTGGCAGATGTGGCAGGTGAAGAGGTCTCCACTGGGACTGTCCCCCAGGGTCACCTGTGGGTGAGGCCAGTGTTTGTGACAGATACCCAGGAGTTGGGGCCGCAGGTTGGCAGACTGGGAGGAACAAACGCTAGCCCCCAGGCCCTCCTGGAAAGCCATGCCCGCCCTCCAGAGGCCACACCTCTGTGCCATTTGCTCACAGAGATATGAAGTGGTGAGGCTGGAAGGAACCTCTGGGTCAATGGTTCAGGTCCCCATTCAGGGCCACCACCCAGCCCCTTCTTTACTAGCTAGAGATGGACAGCCAGCTCACTACAGAAACAGCCCAATTCATCGTCAGCAACCGTCCCTGGGAGAAAGTTCCCTGAGCCCAAATCTTTCTCTGTAGTTTCTGCTCTCTGTTCTCGTTCTCCGCCTAACGACAGGGGAAAATGTCCATGACATGGTCTCTGTGGCAGCCTTCCAAGGCTGAGGCCACCGCGGTGAGCCTGGGATCCCCTCGCAGCCCAGCCCAGCTGCCCGGTTTACTTGACATGGTATGGTTTGAGTCTCTTTGCCACCCTGGTAACTCTCTTGCTGATAAATATTTTTCACTTCTTTTGTAATTACGGAAAATCTCACATCTATTCAGAAGTGGAGACGTGGCCTTGATGCCTCACCTCTGTTAATGTTCGGAGGTTGCTGTCCTTTGTGGGTGGCCCTGTCGCTGGCAACTCCTCCTGAGCTCCCTGGGCATGGGGTGCGCCCTGTTGCACCACACCTCCTTGTTCTGTACCGCTTCTGAAACCTGGTAAATGCCCCTCGTTGCTAGCTAGGCAAGAGCTTTAGGTCAGGACTCCTCCTCTGGCACATCTGCTGTCTTTGCTCACAGAGATCTGAAGTGGTGGGGCTGGAAGAGAGCCTCTGCTCTCTCCCCACGCCCTCCCTTCCCACTGGGGTCCAAGGGCTGGGAAGAAGGGCCTGTGGGGGATCAGGGGCACTGTACTGGCTCTCTGGCCAATTGCCCAGCAGGTGTCTCGGTGGTTCGCCTCCCGTTACAACACCCACTTGGCCTCCGCAGGTAAGAGAGGAAGGAACAGCAGTTCGCTGCCAGCTTTCTCCAGTCTTTTGGCACATAGGATAGCGCTGCAAGAACCCTTCTGCTAGCTCCCTGATGGCAAGTGCTTCCAGATCCTGGAGCTTTCCAGAATGTAGGTGCAGCCAGGGGTAGCCCCGCTATTTGCACTCTTCTTGAAAGCAGGGGCACCCCCACTGCCTCATGCACTCCTTACTGCTTCTGCGGCTGAGCGCAGTGGGGCTGCTCAGCAGGCCCGCCCTGGGTGCATGGCCTTGAGAGCCAATGGGCTGGAAGGAGCACACTTATGACGAGGCGGACACCGCCAGGGACACACCTTGGGGACAGTTAACCACCGAGCGGACTCCAGGCCTCACTCCCAATGCAGCCCAGGAGAAGGTGCTGAGCGGCCTCACGTCTCCCCGCTTTTCCTAGGACTTCTGTGTAAAGAAGTGGCTCCCCGTAAGGCCAGAAATGAAACTCGCCAACCCAAGAATGGACTCCAAAGGGTCAAATGTCTTGTGAATCCCACCACTTCTTCCTCATGCAAGACATTCTCACTTTAGATCGACTCCTCTCCTTTTCCGGCCCCTGTCTGCGCCCCAGCCAGGTTCACTTCTCTGCAGAAACCCCAACCCAGATCCAAGGCCAGCCTCTGCCTAGGTCTCATTTGTGCCACATCTTGTGGGCCAGACACAGGTCTACACATGTCTCTGGTCCTCAGAGACAGCGTGAGGGTCAGTACCTTCATTTTGGTGCGCAGGAAGCCATGGTCTCTGCTCTGGGGGTCTGCCAAGCGGCCCATGTCTTCAGAGGGAAGCTGGGCCACCACGCAGGGCCCAGGGACCACACTGTAGCTGGAGTCCCGAAGGCTCATGTCCAAAGCCAGGGGGCAAGAAGGGGGTTCAGCCACCGATGGCTCTGGCTCCTGGTAGGGCTGTGGTGGGCAGAAGCCCAGGCTGACTGTAGAGAGAAGAACAGCCAGGTGAGGGGCTTGGTGGGGAAAAGAGGATTCAGTCAGATTTCAGGAAGCTTCCCTGGCCATGAGCTGGCTGGAACCCCGAGCCTCCAGCCGGCCTCTTGTAGGCATGTGGCAGAGCAGGGCTGCCCCCGCCCACGGCCGCCTGCACTTCCCTCCCTCCCCATCAAGGTAATCACAGGTGACGCCAGCCAAGTGCCATGGCCCACAGGCCTGCCCACTGAGTAATTTGTGTCTTAGCGGAACTGGGAGGACCGAACCTGCCCTGCCAATTATCCCGCCAGAGTTGTCTGCCGGCCCCACCTGGGCCAGTCCCTCTAGATTCCAGGCCTCCTTCACGCTCCTGCAAGGACAAAGGGCGCCACTGGAGGCCCTCAGCCCAAGGACTCATCCCTGCCCCAGAAGGGGCCCTGGTGGTCTGGGTCACTCTGGGCCTCTCTTCCAGGCGGATTTAGTTTCTGGCCTTGGGGGATTGGCTGGTCCCAGCCCCTTCTCCCCAGGGTGGGCCCGTCCCTGCTGTTGCAGCCCTTCAGGGCTCCAGGCTCCCACTCCTGCTGGCCCAGCTTGGCAGGCAAACAGGCCAGGCAGGGTGGAGCAGGGAGGAGGTCAGGGAGCAGCAGGTGGATGCGGTGTAACAGTCTCATGGGCAGCCTGCCCGGCGGTTACGCAAGCCTCGCCCACAGCCGGGACCGCTCGCTGTGGCCCCGAGAGGGCTGGCAGCCGCCCCCCGCGCAGCACCGATACCTGGCAGCCCTTTGATGGGCCGCTCCCCACAACAGACACCTCACACTGGATGGGGCCGGGGAGGCCTGGCCCTGGGCCTGACCGGAGAGGAGCAGGAAGAATTCTGAGTGACACAGAGGAGACAAGTCTTGAGACTCTTGAGGCAAGTCTCAAGAGCTGGGGCAAACAATCCAAGGTTTCAATGCCATCAGGATTTTTCTTCCAAAAAGGCTAAGCGCTCTACTTAAAACCCATCCACTAGGAACATTTTCCAAGCCTCCGGAGGAAAAACCAAGAAGGGCCTAGAAGAGAAAGGATGAGTGGGCTTCAGAGTTAGAGTCTCAGACCCCTGAACAAGGAAGACCCTGCTGCAGCTGCTGTCCCCGAGCTGGGGACACGGAGCCGACAGCCCCCGGGAGGGCAGCTGCCCTCCCCTCCTCTCCCAGGACACAAGGTCCGAGCAGAGGACAGGATGGGGGCCAGCAGAGGAATGGACTAATGGAGGAGGGAGAGTATGAAAGCACCGAAGTTTCGGGAGAGGCCCCGGCTCTCGCCCCCTCAAAACACAACAAAGGTCTGATGGAAAGAACGCGCCTGCCCGCCGCCCAGAACTCGTTCTGCTGGCACTGGCGTCCGTCTGTCCAGGGACTTTAATGAGCCACCTCATTCTGGGAGTTGATTCACCAGCGCCTGGCCCTGGCCTGGCCTCTGAGCTGGTGTGGACGTGAGGCCCAGGCCCTCCAGGCCTTGGGGTCCCTCTTGTCTTCCTGCAGTGGCGGCTGTCTATGCTCGTGGGATGGGGCCGGGGGAGGACAGGGGCGCGTCACTGTTGGCGGCTTCTGATGCCAGTTTCCCAGCTATTGGAGATCTTGGCAGAGAATTCTAAGCTGAATGACAATTGTCATTTCTCACTCCAGGTAGAGACAGACAGGAACCTCTACCCTCTTCTGTCTTTCAGTACCAGAGAGCGTGAGGAAGACTCCCGAAAGCTGGAGCCGGGCTGTGCCGCCTGCCTGCACACAGAGCAGCAGAGGGAGGAGTGACAGCCGGTGAGGACTAACGGGTTTGCGCTCAAAACGAGTGGTCGCTCTGGGCCCCGTTGCTCCACTGGAGGGGGTTCATGGTTAGGGTTCTGGGGATCCACGCCAGCTTGGGAGGGGGCCTGTTTCCCGGGCCTGCCTCTCCTCTCTCACAGAAACCTGGAAGTGATGGTGCTGGGGAACCGGGCGCAGGGAGAGGGCCTGCCTCATCTGGCCTCTGTGCCGCCTCTACCCCGAGCCGGGGCAGGTGAGGCTGGATGGGCAGCCACATGGCTGCCAGGGAGGGGATGTTGGCCTCATCCCACCCACCCCACCAAACCTGTCTTCCTGCCACCCCCGTGAGCACGTCCCTGCTGCTGCCGCACGCATAGGGAGTGCTCGTTGGTGTGCCGCTCCTGTGGGTGTCACTGAGTGACAAGAGGCAGGAAGCAGAACTGGTTGGGCCCTGCTTGCGCTGCTCTCTGTCCCCTAATTAGATGTTTCCGGCAAGGCGGTGGCCGTTGTGGCCTCTCATTGCCCACCCACAGCTGGGGAATGTGGTAAGGCCAAACCAGCCTGGCCCTCTCCCTCCTCCCTCAGGGGTTCAAGGGTTCCCCTGCTGTTGACCCAACTTGCCTCCACCTGATGACGTTGAGGACACGGGCCTGGAGCAGCTTCCCCACTGAGGGCCTCTCCTCCCTCACTCTCAGCAAGTCTCCTCTCTCTTGGATTGAAAGCTGCTGGCCCAAATACTGGACAGAGTGCCAGGTTCTGCCCCATCCACAGCCTCAGACCAGGGCTGGGCACGAGGCCTGGCCCCCGGCTCTGCGGGGACGGCAGGTGAAGCGGACATGAGCACACCTAGCCTCTGACCACAGCAGGCTGGGGCTGGGGCTGACCTGGGGGAGGTTAACTCAGCTCTGAATGGGGGACCCAGTATGTCAGCACAGCCCAGGTTGGTGTTAGGTGGCCCTGCATCCTTATCAGGAAGGGTGGGGGTCCCCTGTGCCCGTCTCCTCCAGTCCCAGCAGGTCAGCTAGCAGTGCCGGAAAGCAAGCCAGTGCCAGCCAACTGGCAGAGGCGGGCAGCCCTGGAAATATAACGGCGACCTGTTGTTTCCATTCTGTGAATGCCAAGTTTGTCTCTCAGGCAGTATCTTTTCCCCCTTGCCCAGCCGCTTTTCATCCCCTGCCACAATGAAGTCAAAACGGTGTACCTCAGCCCTCACACTGGGGACGACGGCCCTGGCCAGCTGGGAACTATGCTTCTGCTCCCACCCTCCTGTCCAGTGAGGGGCTGGGCACCCCTCTGGGGCTCAACCGACACTTGGTAAAAGTGAACGGCATTAAAAAGGAACCCTGACATCAATAACAGCCACACCTGGCGCCCGTCCTCCCCATGCCCAGAGGACTCGCCCACACCTGCTTGCTTTCTGGGACAAATGGCCTGGCAGGATGCTGCCTCGGGTCACGAAGGCTTGGGACAAACAGCTTGGCAGCTTGGATGACGGCACCCTTGGGCCAGGTAGGAGTCCCATAGAGCCCACTGCCTGGGCCGAGTTGCTCTTCTGTCCCCATCCACTGTCTACTCTCCCAGCCTTGCTCCCTGGAGAGCACGACAGACATGTCCTCCACTGCCAACACTTCCGGGGATTCTAAAAATCGTCATCATCAGAGGCCCGGTCTCACCCAGTCCCCCACTCCTCCCGCCCCCAGATGTGTACTCTGGGGTCCACAGCTGACTTTCTCAGCCTTTCGAACTCGGCCTGGAAAGAGAGCTGCCCAGGTTCCCACACTGCCTCATCAGAGCCAGGCTGAGCCTCCAGTCTCCTCCACCTCGGCCGGCTTCCTCCCTGGGAGGGGCGTGTGCTGTTGACCGGGCAGAAGAGACTGCAGAGGCTCCCAGGCAGGGAAGTGGGTTCTGGGGGCCTGAACGGGGCCCTGGGGTGCTCACGGCCTATCTGGGAGCACATCATCAGTCTACCTGCAAGTGCTTTCCTGGCCTTGTGAGATTTCACTCAGCAGGAGCTTGGCGGGCCCAGCTTCATCCTTGCTCCTCAAGCTTCCCCTTCAGACCAAAGAAAGGAATGTAGCCCCTGGGTACAGGTGCCTGGTTCATCCTCAAGAAACCAGCGTTACTCCCTCACTCCAGTCAATATTGACACAACAAAGGAGGGACGCCAGGGCCGCAGCAGTGAAGGGCTCAAGTGTGCACTCCTGGGCCTCGAGGGCCCCAATAGTGACCACCAAGCCTTTCGATGCTCCTAGTGTGAGTGGAGCCACCTCCCACCCCGTGAGGCCTTCAGCCCCAAATGCCCACTTCTGGGCTTTTCCCTCTGCTTTGGGAGGAGAGTGAGGCCCAGGGGAGAGGTCCTGCACCAGGGGGTGGGCCCTCTAGGATTGTGCCTCAAGGAGAGATGCCAGAGTGCTGGTCAGACTGGGGCCCTCAGTCAGAGCTGCCAGGCTGGGGCCCCGGGCCAGTACAAGCTTCTCCTTCCAGGTGCTCTCTGATGCTTTAAGGGTCTTAGGGGGCCCTGGAGGGAAGGGCAGACATCAAACCCTTCCCCGTTCCCCGCCCTCCCAGCACTTTCCCAGTGAGAGCGGATGGGGTCAATGCTTAGCTGGTCACAACGTGCGGAGTTTGGGAGGTGGGGTGAAAGAAACGTGCCCAGCCGGCTCCTGGGGTCACGCTCGACTGGTGATGGAATGGCCCAGCCAGGGGACAGGCCACCACAAAACACTCCCCCCACTCTCCAGCCATCTGAGGCACCCGAGCGTAGCCCGAGAACGTTCCCTTTCTCATTTCCAAAAACTGTGGGAAAACTCTCCAGTGGGCCCCACGGCTTTTGAAGCAAAATTAAGTTCTTTAACTTCTACCCTTTACTCCACCCCACAGGACTCTCCCTCGCCAGAGCAATGAGGGCCGATTCTGACCTGCGCCCTCCAGCTTAGACCCCCACCCAACATCCAGGACGATCCTGCAGAGTGAGCGACCTCTCCCCTCACCCGGACGACAGCAGCAGGTGACACAGACCAGCAGAGCCCTCCCCTGCACTTGAGGGGACAGCACCTGGGGTGTAGGTCTCCCCTGCCACTCCCACCACGGCCACCAGAACTGTGGTGGGGAAAATCACTGGGACACAAGGAAGTCAAGGATTTGAACCAACGGAATTTCTCTGTCCTTTGAAAGAGTCAACACATGATCTGTTACTGATTGGGATGTGAAATAAAACTAAAAATAACAGCACACTGAGTCTCGAGCAGGCTCAGCTCACCTTTAACACAGTCCAAGTTCAGTTTATCAGATCCCAAGGAGCAGCTAAGCAGCAAGTCACACACAGGTGAGGGAGGAGGCAGGAGCGAGGAAGGGGCTGGCGGCCCACGGGCGGCCCCTCTGGAGGCGGAACCCCAGTCATCTTGCCGGAGCAAAGCAAGAAACTATAAACAGAATTCTGGGTCCACACCCTAATCCACCTCAGGGGAGGTTGGCAACTCACTTCCCTTTTTGTCTCAGTTTCCCCACCGGGGTCATCAGGGACCTCTGGCACACTCCTTTGTTTTAAGGAGCCTGTAGAAAAGGGGCCGAGGCGCTTGAGATAAGGTTAAGCTGTGAAACATCCGGGCAGCCTCATAGGCCATTGGATCCTGGTGGATCAGGCCACAGAGACCTCACCACTGCACCCATTGTTGCCAACAATTTACGCAGGAGAGAAACTGAGGCAAGAGCCCTCACAGGGCCCCTCACCGCCCTCATTTTTCCACTTTCCTACAAGGCCTGGGGCGGTGCCAGGGAGCCTCCAGATCAAGGGTCAAAGTCGGTTGGTTAATTACAACCTCTCCCCCCTTGGAGGCGCTGGGAGGGAGCTCAGCGCATCCCCCGCCCCACCCCCAGGCCTGGGGAGGGGGAGTTCCGAAGGAAACCGGCTTTCTCCTGAGCAAAGATTTTGTTGGGGGTGGGGGAGGACAGAAGGAGCAGAAAGGTTCTCAGGGCTAACAGAGGAAGATGCACTGGAGGAAGAAACAACTCGGGTTACTCATTCAAAGGTGACGCCGACGCTGTCGAGGCGTCTTCCAAAAATAAACTGGGTGCACCAGCTTCCCCGGGCCCGGGGCCCCTGGCTGTGGAGTGGGCTCCTTAAAACCACTTTCGGCTCAACTGTGTCCTCTCCAAGGTTGGAGGCGGCGCCTTTCTAACAGACAGGAGACCTAATCCCACCTCTGTCTTCAGGGCAAGCGGGGTGCAGCTTCCCCACGGTCTCCGCGCACCCTATGGGGCCGCCGGCTGGGACCCCCACCGGCCCGAGCCTCGCCGCGAACTTATGGCCACCAGTGGTGGGGGCTAGAACCAGCGATCTATGAAGGCGGCTTCAACTCTTGAGTCTTCTCTCACATTTTGCACAAATCTCGGCCGAAAGTCCAGCTCGCTCCCTGCCCCCCAAAGTGGCATCGCTCCAGTGCCCTCCTCCCGCTTCATAAAAGTCCCGGCTTTCTGGATTTACGACGTGAGAGTGGAGGGTCGCCTAAGCGGTGACACACCCCGTTGCCTCCCCTGCGCCGCGGCTCGGGCCGGTGGAGGGGAGGGCGGCACCGCGCGGACCCGCGCGCTCGGACCAGCCTGCCCCCAGCCCGCCGCGGGACATGGGAACGGCTCTCACCCCCGCCCCCGACGGCCCGGCCCTGCCCTCCCCTCCCCCCGCGCCCGAAGGCGGCCGCGCCTCGGGCTAACGGGGCCGCGGCCGCTTAAACATTAAATCGGGCGCCTCCACTGCGCCGGCCGCCGGGCTCCGCGTTCTTGCGCCCTGCACGCCCGCCGCCTCGACGGGCCCCGCTGCCCGCTGGGGCGCCGCAGGCTCCATCCAGGGTGGCGGGGGCCTCGGGGCTTGCGGGCGGGCGCCTCACCTGGCACGTAGATCTCGCCGCGCTCCTCGTCTGGGAGCTCGCTCCAGTTCCTCTTGCACGTGGAGACGCACGGCTTCTTCACGAGAAACGCGCGGGGCATTTTCGAACCCTCCTCGGCTGGCACCGTCTGCTTCTGTCTCTAGAGCCGGGAGCCGTCCCACTTTCCCGGGCCGGGCTGGAGGCGGGCGGGGGCAACTCAGGGAAGGAGCCTCCAAAGCGCCCCCACGTTCCGCAGAGAGACCGTGCCCGGGACGGCGTGCGCCGTTTCCAACTCCGCGGTGCTGTCGCCGTCCTCCGTCCGGACGAGGTCCCTCGCAGCCAGGTGCAGCGGGCGGCGGGCGAAGCGGCAGGTAAGCGTCTCCGGGCTCGACTGGCGTCCCCCGCGGCCGCTCGGGAAGTCTTAAAGTGCGAGCCGGACGGACGGGTTCACGCTTTATTGGCTCGCGGCGGTGTGTGTTGGTGGCTGGGGCGGGGAGGGGGGTGATCTGAGCTAATTAGCTTGGAGTGGCCCGGGGAGCGACGGCGCATGCGTTGGGAAATAACGGTGACAACCCACCTATTTGTTACCTGTCGAACCGGTTTCCATTCCGCTGCCGGTGAGGTGGCCTCGCGGCCTGGGCGGGGTGGCCGGGTGGGGGCGGGGGGCGGGCGCAGGGCACCAGCACTGGCTGCCCAGCCTGTCGGGCCGCCGCCCGCCTGGGACCTCCCTGCCGGGAGTGCTAGCGTTCGCAAACGGGAGTTTCGGAGGGAGCGGAGGGGAGGGGAGGGAGGGGGCAACGTTATTTGCACCCGCGCTCGCACGCTCTGCAGGTGATGAAATGAAACTCGCCCCACTGAGCCCGGCCCGGCGCGTCCCGGGCGCCTGGGGAGGCGCGAGTCGTCGGGCGGGAACGGACGGCCCGGCCCACACTTGTTGAACCAGGTGTGGGCCAAGGCGGCCCCGGATCCCAAAGGCCTGGCTGAGCAATTCGTGGTTCCGCCCAAAGGTGTTTCTGGGCGCCGGCTTGGTGCGGGAAGGCACGCGGGCAGCGGGAGCGCGCCGGCCGGTGGGCGGCGGGCGGGGACGCACGCGGCCGCGATACCAAGTGGAGAGCTCCCGCTGGGTGCGAGCGCTGACCCCTGCCGAGATCCCGCCTTCTGGTCGGGGAAGCGCGGACGGCTTCGCGTAGGAAGAGGCGTTTAAACCGCTCTGAGTCCACTGAGATCCTGCAGAACTCCAGAGCCTTAGTCATTGGGGCTTACACATGCGCAAAACCCCTCCATCATCCTTGTCCCAAATGGCCAGATTTCAGGTGCAGCAAGGCCAGCGGGGAGCTGAGGCCCGGGGACCTCTGGAGAAGTCAGGCCCAACCTATTTTGTCTGGCTACAGCCACCGCAGAGGCTCGTGTCCGCTTCCCCCATAGCCCACCCTTGGGTGCGGTTCAGCCTGGAATGCCCCCTCCAGCCATTCCTCCTGCTCTGCCCGGTCCCCAGGCCCGGCCGGGGGGATCCCCACCCTCCTCAGAAGCTGGGGATGCTTGGTGGCTTCCAGGAGGCATGTTTAGTGTGGCACTTTGGCCGCTGGCCTGGCTGGGCTTTTCTCACCAGCTGACCTAGTCAAGGCAGGGATAGGACCCTCTTCCTCTTTTTAGCTCCCCTGTCCCCCAGTATAAAATAATCTAACGTCCCAGAATCCCTACCACACAGATACCTTTCTCACGTATTAAATGTTTGCTGGGACAGAGTCGGAGGAAGTGAGTCTGGTAAATGAATTCACACAGTTCAAAAGTCAGGAGTCAAAGAGGAGCAGCCGGCCCTGGTGGACTTGCAGGCATCTAGTGGGAGAGGATGGTTTTTCAAAGGGGGAGACTTGCAGAGGCCCGGCAGGACTTCTGTGGTGCGCCCCTGGGTGGGTGGGGGGAGCGTGGACTGTGGGGGCAGATGGCCTCCTCCTCTGCTCCTTCCTGGAGCCTGAGTTTGGCCAAGGAGCTTTCCTTTCCAGCCTGTTACTTTGTCTGTCACCGCAGAATCTCAGCTACCTCCCAGGTCACTGTGAGGGGTGATGTGAGCTCTGGCAGGGGCGGTAATGTGTGCCCCCTTCCCCAGGGCTCTGCCTTCCCACTGCCCACCCTCCACTCTGACCCTGGACCCTGTCAGTCAACTGACATTAAGTGAGCACCTGTTTCACACTTGTCTTTTGAGCAAATCCTGGAGAAACAACATTGACTAACACAGTCTGTCTAGGAGAGAGGTGAATTTAGTTCATTCATTCAACAAATATTTCTTGAGCACGTTGGTTGTGCCAGACTCTGGCCCGGGCTGGCACACAGGAGGTGCTTAGTAAATGCTGCGGGCAAGTCTTCAGGGATGACCCTGGACACAAGGGACAGCCTTTCTCATCGGGGAAACAACACAAATGTCTCCCCTTGTGGAAAGCAGGTTAATCATTTTTTTTTTTTTTTTTGAGGAAGATTAGCCCTGAGCTAACTGCTGCCAATCCTCCTTTTTTTGCTGAGGAAGACTGGCCCTGAGCTAACATCTGTGCCCATCTTCCTCTACTTTATATCTGGGACATCTACCACAGCATGGCTTGCCAAGCGGTGCCATGTCCACACCCAGGATCCGAACCAGTGAACCCCTGGCCGCAGAGGCGGAATGTGCTCTCTTAACTGCTGTGCCACCGGGCCGGCCCCCAAGAAAGTTACACAGTGTATGGAATGAGGCCCCAGGAGGGAGGGGTATTCGTCCACGCTGTCCACTGCTCTCTCTCTGATATCTGCAACTGTGCCTGGCACGTAGCGGGTTATCAATAAATATTTGTTGAATGAAAGAATATCCTATTTCTCTTTTTTCCCCAATTATTTTATTGAGAGCATAATGGTTTATAACATTGTGTGATTTGAGGTGTACATTATTATTTATCAGTTTCTGTATAGACTTCATTGTGCTTATTTCTCTCGACTCATGTGACCCATTCAGCCTTTCGTGTTCCAATTTTTGGTAGAAGCATAGAAAACAGAGCATATTTCTTTATTATAAGGAAAATAATAGTGCAAGTTCAGTGATGAAAGGCAGCTGACCCTGGCTGTCAGGGAGAGATTAGAGAGTGGTGGGGTCTGTGGAGAATGTCCCTGGTGAAAGGGGCAGTGACAATCACGTCATTCGAGCACAGAAACCCAACATGGGCACATCTATTTTCCAAGAGAAGCTGGAAATCCAGATTTGTATGTGAAATCGGCTGTTTTTAAATGTTGACTCAAATTTTTTTGAAACATGGAATGAGTCAAACAAAATCCCTTTGTGGGTCAGATTCGACCCACAGGTTTGACCATAGGCTGCTGGTGTGTGGTCTGTGGTTTGTGGGCAGCTCTGGGACCAGACAATGTGTGTGAACTTGGGTAAACACCCAGCTGAACTGTGAGCTTCACGAGGGCAGGCACCCTCTGGGCTGCTCACACGGTGCCAGTGAGATGTCATTCATTCATTCCTTAGTTCAGTCCACAAATATTGATTGAATACCCCCCACGTGCTAGGCACTGGGGATTCTGAGATGCAAGGCAAACCGACAAGCAAGGCAACTATTAGTGCGATGTAGGACCTTTAACTAGAAGCAGGATAGTGACAGGTGGGGAGTGCTGAGATCTGAATGAGAGGTAGGAGCCAGCTGGGCAGCACAGGGAAAGGCCTGATCCGAGGAAGGAACAGCTGGTGCAAAAGCGCCTGAGTGGGACTGAGCCGTGTGTGTGCGTGTGACGAACCGAAAGGCAAGGTGGCTGGTCCGTGAGGGGCTGGGAGGGTAGGAACTGAGGTTGGAGAGGCAGGTCAGCCACGTCATGTGAGGCTGAGTGTGGTGGGAAGCCTTAGGGTCTGCCAAGGGGAGAATGGAGTGTGGGGGTCGGGGGGAGGGGTGGTGAGGGTAGCAGTAGGGAGACCACTGAGGCTACTGCAGTGGTCCAAGCAGGAGGTGATGGTGGCCTGGGCCAGCTGCAAACAGAGCCCGGAGGGCTGATTCCAGTTCTTCCGAGTGGACGTCTCTCTGGTACAGCAGACAGAGGGGTGAAGGAGGGTTGAACCCCAGCAGGCAAGTAAGGACTACACTCCCCGAAGAGTGGTGGCCGGCACCCGCCTTCAGTGCTCGGCTCCCATCCCGAGCAGCCTGGGAGAGATAGGGCAGGAGTCGGATGGAGAAAGTTTGGAAAAACCCCTTCCTGTTCTCAGAGAAGGCTTCCCAGTGGGGCCAGGGTGGGGTGGGGGTGCGGCGGGGGCTGGGAAGCGTGGAGGCCAAAGGCAGAAGGGCTTCTGGGAAATGAGCTGTGAGGACAAGCAGGAAAGAACACTGGGCCTGGAGTCACGCTGCCCCAGACTCAGTCCCAGGGACTTGAGCCAAGCTACCTAAGCTCTCAGGACCTCAGTTTACACATCTGTGGGGTGGGGCTCCTAGTTCCAGCTCTGCTACCCAGAGCTGTCAAGAAATGCTGTCAGTTTGTTTTTGCCCAGAAGCCTAGCAGGCCCTTGAAATTGGACTCAGCCTTAAAGCAGGCCATTGGTGCCCCCAGCCACCAAGACCTCTGCTTGGCTCAAAGGGTGGCCTTTCCAGCCCTGTTTGACAGTAGTCCCATGGAGGCTGCAAAGGCCTGACAAACTGTGAAGTGCTGTGGGTGACACTGACTGCTCCATCTCTTGCTGAGTTTCTGCCCACGGGCCTCCCCATCCACTGCCAGGGTGGGCCAGGGCCCCTTAAGGCCTGGCAGGGAGCAGGAGGCCGCCACGTGGGCAGAAAGCTCCTGAGGAGGAGCTGGGGGCGTGGGCAGAGGAGGAGGCTCCCTGGGCCTCTGGAGCAGTGCGGGGGGCGTGAGTTCCTGCTGGAGGGGGCGGAGGAACCGTGTTAGGTTCACCACCGTGGCCGTGGGTCTGGTCTGCCAGACTTGATTTCATCCTCACAGTTCCCACAGCCTTCTCGGTCTCCGATACTGGAAGCATCAGCCCCCCCAAGTACTCAGGGCCAAAGCCCAGAGTCATCCACCTCCCTCTTCCCTCACCCCACACAGCCACCCACCAGCAAGTCCTGTCAGCTCCAGGTGCATCTGGCATCCATCCACACCTCCATCTCCATGGTTACC